GTCGTATTGTTGGAGTTATTGTGTGTGTTGTTGGTGGGTCAGGTGTAGGCTGTGCGTTGTTGGGGTCTTGGCTGCGCTTGTGTTTTGTGTTTTCCTTTTTGGTCCTTTTTGATTGTGTATTTTGTTGTTTTTGTTGTGTTTCTATTATCGTGTGTTTTTATGTGTTCCTTTTTTGTTTTTGGTTACTCGGTTTAGTTTGTAATATGAACTGGCTGTTACATAGCGATGATACGTATTGTACCGATGTAAAAAGAAAAAAAGAAAAAGAAAAAGAGGAGAGAGCGAACTTTAAAACCTTTATTCTGAACTTTGTCTCCGAATATATGTTTAGTTTTTATCTTCATTATGTATATCCATCTGTCTGTCCGTTGCTTTTATCTTATATTCAAACTTAATAACTATGTCTTACTCCATTTTTTATCAAATATGAAAACGAGAGAGAGAGAGAGAGATAGATAGATAGATAGAGAGAGAGAGAGAGAGAGAGAGAGAGAGAGAGAGAGAGAGAGAGAGAGAGAGAGAGAGAGAGAGAGAGAGAGAGAGAGAGAGAAATAAATAAATAGAATTGAGCTAATTGAACTTTCGGTGACATCAAACCGAAGAAAGTAACGTTCATACAATTGTGAGGATCAGAAAAAGATATGGAACTAAATAATTGTACAATTAATTCATCGTTCTAACAATCACTCTGCCTGTTAACCTGTAATCAAGCTGTTCGTTTTTCATTAATTGCAGTTGTTCCCGGATTGCAATTGTCTTTCTGACGTTTGTTTGTTTGAAGTGAATGAATCCATTTTAGATTGTGTTTAGCATAATTTCCTCCTACTGTTCTTTTTCACGGTGGTATGGTTTGTTGTTTGCTTGGCTGATAGACAGGATTTCCCTTTTTTTCACTCTGTCTACCTGTCAGTCACTCTCTCGCTCTATTCGTCTGTCTCTGTCTGTCTGTCTCTTTCTCTCTCCCTCCCTCCCTACCCCCCCTCCCCTCCCTCTTTCTCTATTCCTCTCTTTCACTTCAAATGACCTTCCCTTCCTCGTCCTCAGTGACCCCGAGGTCTCTCTATAACCCACAATTTCCCTCGTGTCTTTGACAGCCATTATATATAGGAGGTGGACACGTAATGGCACCTCGGTCACCCCCTTTTGCGGAGAGGCTGAGGAAACGGAGAAAAAGGATAGGGTATGGATAAAGAGGATAGGAGGATTATAAAGAGGATAGGAAGGCGGGATAAAAGACGATACAGAGGATGAGAGGGTGATAAAAAGAGTGAGAGGAATATAAAAAGAATGAGAGTGGTTTTATGAGTTTCTGCTGGACGGGAAGCGAGGGAGAAGAAAGTGGCCGTGTACTGTTACAAGTGGGATATCCTTCAAGCCTAACGGAAAGAATAAGGAGAGATGAAAGGATGAGGAGAGATGTAATTATTAGAAAGACCGAGAAAAAAGAGTTATACAAGTAATACAGAAATCTATTTTTAGATTCGTTTAACACACAGGCGAATGGCGTTGGATTACCAGCCGTTTAAAATCTAGAGAAATGCAAATAAAATCGACGCATTCCTTTCAGCACCCGGTGACCTTTGTCTCTCCGCAGTGCCGCCCACGGGGTTGCCGGTTCTGCATGGCACTTCTGGCGTCGTCACAGAGGGTCAGTGGGTAGCAGCTGAGTGCGATTCCGCCCCCGCCCTTCCCACGCCCTCCTTGGCCTTCTTCATCAACAAGACTCCTGTAAGGCGACGGAAGGGAGGAGAGTGCATGTGTATGCGTGGTTAATGATTATGTGCCAGTTATATATATTCAGATACATGTAACTATATATGTAATATATACATATACATATATGCATGCATACATGTATGTGTATGTATAAAAATATACATCTGCACACACACACATACATACACACAATCACACACACACACACACACACACACACACACACACACACACACACACACACACATATATATATATATATATATATAGAGAGAGAGAGAGAGAGAGAGAGAGAGACAGAGACAGAGAGAGAGAGAGAGAGAGAGAGAGAGAGAGAAAGAGAGAGAGATACTATATAACGCATATTCAGAATATGTCAGGCCTCATAAATAATCACACTCATCTCATTAACACATAAGCGCCTTAGAAATGCACGCGAGCCAGCGCCCGATCCTCCGCTGCATCACTGATAGCGCCCCTTCTCTCCCCCCGTCCCGTGCAGGTGGTGAAGGCGTTCATGTCGGCCTCGACCGTCACGAGCACCAGCGACCACAAACGCGTCGTCTCCCGCAGCGTCGGCTTCCCCGCCCACCGCCGCCTCTTCCTCAAGGGCCACCTCCTCCTCGAGTGCCGCGTCACCATCGAGAACCTAGTCTGGACGGCCAGCACCGACCTCCTCCTCGAAGGTTACGACCCGGCGGACGATGTAGCTGGAGGTGGAACTCAAAGGCTTAATTGGTGGTGCTTCCTTTTCGTCGGGAGCCTATGCTGGATGTCTTCATAA